CGCTCACACACGGAGTTACAGCGAACACCGGCTTAGCCTCTGAGGCGCGCACACGCGGAGTTACTGTACAGCGAACACCGGCTCAGCCTCTGAGGCGCGCACACGCGGAGTCACAGCGAACATCGGCCCAGCCTCTGAGGCGCGCACAAGCGGAGTTACAGCGAACACCGGCCTAGCCTCTGAGGCACTCATAAGCTCAGATACGGCAAGTGGCGGCTGAGCCTCTGAAGAGTTATAGGTCGTCGGGTCTGAACAGTTTTCTAGGCTGACATTGTGTTACGTTGTAGGGATTTCCCACCTTCTGAACCGAGTCCTACATAGCAGACCCGCGGATAGCTCTCTCGGCCGAGGCGAATCCAGTGTACTCCACTGTCCGGGATTAATGGGAGTTAAGCAATAGAAAGTACAGGCCAGGAGTAATCTGAATAACAGAAATGTCATGACTAAAAATGCCATAAAAGATCTTTTATTAAATTGGAGTCAGATATAATTCAGTTGTACCTAAAAGGGTAAGTAACTTTGCAGGAGCGCTCGGAAGGATATTCACGCATTCCAAGCCTTCGGCTGTCCAATTGGATTTTGCCATTGGGCCAGTGGATGGTTCCTACATAGCCATAGGCTGAGTTGCTGTGATTCCCAATTGCTTCCACTTTGTTAAAATACCACTAACAGTTGCCCGTGGAATATTTAGCAGCGAGGAAATTTCACAAACGGACTTATTGCACAGGTGGCATCCTATCACGACATCACGCTCGAATTCACTGAGCTCCTGAGCGTGACCCATTCTTGCGAAAATGTTTGTAGAAGCAGTCAGCATGCCTAGACGCTTGATTTAATACACCGGCAGCTATGGAAGTGATTGGAACACCTGAATTCTATGATTTGGAGAGGTGCCCCAATATTTTTGGCAATATAGTGTATCTAGCTTATACTGTAATTGACAGTACAAAGTCTAATGAAGCCTTTACCAGAAAATCTAAAGGTAATGAACTTTTTCGGGGGGTGGGGCTGGTAATTGCTATTATCTGTTTCTCTGTCAATTCCTCCACATTATGCACCTGCATATGTCCTTTTCCATAGTCCATAGCCTAGGTCCAGGCCTTTATTACATAGCAGCTTCACCTTGGCTCAGTATGATTTGCAGCGACACTCTTACCAGGTGTGTCAGCATTTCATGAGTCGAATGGGAAAAAGTCACCCATGCATTAGAACAGGCCATAACAGATACAGATTACCAGGCAAGAACAGGACTCCAAATGCCACACATCAGCTACTGCTACAACCATTTGATTTGTCAAAACTTTGCAATAAAGGCAAAAATTTCAGGTGTTTTGCTTTGCGTCACTTATTACCCCTCCCGGGGCATAGGCCGCCACCAAGGGATCTCGGTCCTGGGCTTTCCAATCCAGCTGATGCATTGCAGCCCATTCTTCTGGCATCTTTTCCAAGGCCTCAACGCCAGGTATTTCTGGGTGATTCCAGGTGAGCACTTGCTTGGTGATGTTTGAGGCCGGCTTGTGGAGTGTGTGGCTGATCCATCTCCAGCGTAGCCTCAGGAGCTAGTCTTCTGCCGTAGTTCCAGATGAGCTTTTGCAGACAGGTGTTAAGGAAGGTCTGCATTTTCTTCATTATTGCCACTGTTGTTCTCCAGGTCTCAGCTCCATAAAGGAGAACCAACTGGACGTTGAATTGCCTGACCTTTATATGCAGAGTCAGTGCCTTTGAGTTCCAGATTTTCTTCAGCTACAGGAATGCTGCCCTTCCTTTGCCTATTCGTGCTTTGAAAATCAGTGTCGGTTCCACCTAACTTGTCAACGACACTGCCCAGGTAGATGAAGGCTTCCACCTCTCCCAGAGCCTCACCTTCCAGCTTGATCGGGTCAACTGTGGTAGTGTTATCTTTCAGGACCTTAGTCTTCCCCTTGTTGATGATCAAGCCTACTTGAGTCAAGGTGGTTGTCAGACTTAATTTTCTCCTGGGTTTGGGACAGTAGTGCAAGGTCATGCCAGTTTTTGCCAACCTGCTGAAGACTGTGTCCACTAGAATGGCAGTAGAATTGAGCTTTTGCTCATTTCATTAATGAGTCTCAGGCACAAGATTCAAGTAATTTCATGAACTAAGTTCACGTACAGCAGACCTACAGTGGACTCACCCACGGTTCGACATTGAGAAAACGGGAACAGACAGCTCCAAACATTTCTGAAGGCAAATATTAGACATTGTAAATGGAGCACCTCTAGATGTTCAGCTCATGTTTGTGACCCTTCGAAAGAATGAAGCACGACCCCCGTTTCGATGCACCAAATTCAGAATAAATGGTTCATTATTCTAGATCACAAGACAGAAGGTTAGGTGCAAAACCTGAACCTTGATTTTTGCAGTAAAGAAAGAATCTGTGGGAAAAAAAAACACAGTAGAAAACAGGTTTATTGTGGTAAGGTTAAGCTGACACAGAACGTTCAAATGACTTCCTTTCAAAACATCCCCCAGGGCTCCCAATTAAACTTCCTTTGAATACCTGAACGCAGAAATAAACTGCAAGGCACAAACTATGAGAAGGTACGCTTGGACATACAAACACAACAAGCTACAATAAAACGCGTCTGCTGTTGAAATAACGACAGGTAAAATGAGAAACTGGAGAAACCCGCGTCTTTAAAAACTCTGCCGACTGCCAGGGGACACATTGGCCCTCGCAATCCAGTGGTCCAAATTTAAATCCAATCCCACCCCCTCGTTGTGTTCTATAAAATATTGTGCATATCAGCTCATCAGGCAGAATATATTTCTCAAAGCAGTGACAGCGCAGACCTAACAAGCGGTGTGTGGAGAGAAAAAAAAAAAAACAAAATCACATGCCCTTTCATTGATCTAAAATTACACAATACTGCACTGTTAAAACAAAATGCAAGGAAAAAAGTCTCAGGATGAAAGTCCTTACAAGATAAAATTCATGATTAGAATTCAAGTACAACACAGAAGATTTGATTAAAAGGTTGAACAAATACAAATCAAACCAACGAAAGATACCCCTTTGAAAAAGGAACACTTGTATTGTAATAAGAGCACAGTTTGGCATGGTCTCACCTTCCCCAGTAAACGGCCCCAACCTGTCAGGAATAAATAATGAATGCGAACATGATTATTAAAGGTTACTGTAGTACACTATGGAGGAAGAGAATGATAATCTGATGGTAAAACCTGTCAGAAGCGGTGTTGACTATTGGTGGGTGGGTGGGGGCAACCAGTCAGGACTTTTGGACACCATGGAGAAGGGGTGAAATGGTGCAGCAAAATGATGATTAAAAAAAAAAAAAAAAAGAATTCACCAGCCTGGGGAAAATGAACCCCCCAAACAGACCATAAAAAAAACAAAAAACAAAAGATGCGGCCAGACACCCACCCTCCATTTTTCAAAGGTTCAGTCAAATCACAGCTGATTACCACTCCAATCACACATAACCCTCTGTGGTGACCAGCTCTGCACTATTCTACACCTACGAGGCAATCTGTTCAATGTTATCTACAAGTTTGACGAAGGGCTTGAATATCCACTGCAACACATGGCTGGAAAAGTAAAAAAAAAAAAAAAAGCTGAACAAACAAGTGTCACTAATGGCGTCCTGCGAAACGCTTGCCACTGCTGGTGCCGACCAATCAAATTCCCGACCTTAAAATCACTAGGGCTGCTGGCTCCGGCATGGAGGAGGAAGGGTGATCTTGAGTGTTTAACCAAAAGGGGCGTCAGATTTGAGTTTAGCTGGTCCACTAGCCCTAGGATGAACCACAGAAGTAAAAAGAATGTTTTAAAAAATAAAAAAAAAAAAGAAAAGAAAAAAATCCTACAGTCACCAGTCTTTTGCATGATGAACAAAGAAACCAGCGTATTTTTCAGCGATGTGCGAATGGGGAGGGCGGGGGGTGTTTGCTTTAACGTTATAGTGTTGCCACTCGTACTTGCGGGGCCTGGCGGCTCTGCGCCGCGACATGTCCGCATGCCACGCCGAAACGCACGGAGTCCGTAAAGGGCCTGATGTGTGCGCCGTCCCCCCCCAGCCCACCGGAGGCGCGCCAGTCCCTTCGCTCTACCACTCGGCATCCCCGATGGCTTTGGAGAAGACGTAGTCTCTTCCATTCAGGTTCATGATGCCATCTTTCAGGTGGAACTTCCATTTGTTCTTACTCCTGTGTATCTGGGGAAAACAGGCAGAGCGAGTCAGCAGACACACGGGGGGGGGGGGGGGGGGGGGTCGGCAGAGATCATGGGACCACAAGAATGACCCATTTCTTACAGAGGTCCTTCATGCATGCACTTGCATGTTATCCTCACTTTCTAAGGAAATCAACGACCTCCACTGTGTAACCTCACCAGAAGAGGCAGCCATGTGGTGTGTGACACTGACCTCTGATTGCATAATATAGCAATCAGTCAGGAGTGACTATGTATGAAGCAGAGTGCTTTCCATCTCCACGTCACATGCCACCCCCACAGCATCGCTGCCCCCTTACCTTGTCATACTGACACACGACCACATTCTCAGTATCAAACAGCTCCTGGCCCTCTTCATCACTCACATCGTCGCCACTGTTCAAGGGCTCCTGTGAGGTTGAGAGACTCAGGTTAGTTAATAAATAGCTAAATGTGAGAGAGACACACACTGACTGCGAAAACAACAACGATCAATCAGTAGCTAGCTAGAACATAGGTCGGTAACCATTTCATCTTAAATGTCTGACCCAATATTTACAAATTGATAGAGAGGGTTTGAGATACGATTTTTAATGTGATGTCGGTATACATGCATTTAACACAAAAAAAGTACATACAAAAAATAAAGGAAAACAATGGGGGGGGGGAGGCTCTCAGTTTTAAATGACTCGGACACGTAACAGCGCAAAGTTCACAATATCATTCATTTCTGTAGCAATAGTATTCACCCTCACCCAAGTTCGTTTGGCTCTGCAGTTGTCTGCCCTTCACTCTCCACTTTACTACTGTAACTGTGCTGACTGAGCAGTGCAAAATGTATACACTAACCACTCCGACCTCAGCTGACTATAATATGTAAATTGGAGAAAATATAATAATATATATAATATATAATTTTACGAAGACCTAGGAAGGCGCGGTGAGGATTTAGCTACTATGAAAAGTATATGACATAATTAGGAATCCCAATAAACTTTCATGCTTCATCCAATCTCGGACACAGAAAACTCCGGAAAGCATACAATTTGACCGGAGAAATAATCTCGTCATAGAGAATGACTTTGAGGAAGATGTAAGTTATGCAGATGACATCACAGAAGTGCGCGACATACCGCCTCATTCACATATAGCTAAAGAAACATCTAAATGAAAAATAATTAACCCATAAAAGTACATTTATATTATGTTATGACATGAAGATGTGAATGCGTCTATTGTTCTGAGAAGAGCCGCAGCCTCGTGCTAAGAAATCCGCACGTGGCTCACGAGCCACAGGTTGCCGACCACTGAGCTAGAAGAACTGGGCAATTAAATTGAATTTTAATTTCAATTATGATTTTGGCTTCAACAATTATCAAAAGATATAGAAAATTATGGTTTCGCAATGATGCTCACGCTTTGTGTTGCGTTATAAACCCAGTGTGGCCTTTTCTCAATTGAAAGGAAATCCATTAACTTTTACAAGTCCAAAAAAAATGCATATTTGTAAAGTCAGAGTATTGATTTAACATGATTTCAATATTGACCAAAATAATCATGATAATGATTTTTGCCATAATCAAGAAGCATTACTTTTTGCATGGCTAGCAAGCAGTGTTAGCCTTAGACATGCACGACATTGATTAACATACTGGCATTGGTCTGAAGTGTCAGTCTTGGCTGATATAGCCGTCCAATATTTAAACCTTTTCAATGTTCAAAGTTAGGGTTTTTGTTGGTTCATTTACCACTTAGAAGAGGTCTGAAAGCACCGGCCTGTGAAATGTTTACCCTGTACATTTGAGCGTTTTTCTGTGCCTTTGATTTTAGGCTTATTACATTGTATGTACATGAGTCAGTCACATCAGCTGTATGTCTGTTTTCAGGACATTTTGGGCAACTCAGATGGGTCATAATTTGAAGTGTAAATGCTGACATTCTTGATATTCTATTCATAATATTTCTCAAAATATGCTGAGATTAGAGTCTCTATGATGTGGGAAGGCAGGGGTTTCATTGAGGACATTTCTATGGCTTAGTATTGTGAAGGATGAAGACATGGTTAGTGCAAGG